AAATTTAAAAACAAAAGGTCAAAGCGTCTAGGAGCTATTTTTTTTTAAAGTTCTGGGATGTGCACTAAAAAGAAGCTGATATAATTGCTAATTTGCATAACAATTCACTCAGTAAGAAGTTTGTTAATGCTCATAATTAAAATGGCTGTAACAGTTCCAAATTTAAATGTATTGTCGTTTTGTTAAAAGTTAAATATAGTGCATAATATGGAGATCCTGTCATTTTTTTTTTCACCATGTTTCTTTTTGATTATTTATGTACAGCCTTGCTAAGCATTCAAAAGAGTGAATGTTTGCACCTGTTATCTATATTTTAAAATCGTTTTTTGAGTATGTTCCACTTTTCACAATTCTACAAAATTTTAACAGTCTATAGCCAAGACTTTTTGGATAAAAAGCAAAAAAAAAAAATTTCACTTCCAAGTGCCCACAAACCTGCATCTCTACCTTAAAGGCTTTCTTGTGTACTTCAGACACAGCAACATTGTAACATGTGACTGAAATAGAATGTCCCAAATTCAAATGATTTCGCAGCCATGAATAGTTTTCGCTGTCATTTGGGAGTGGTAGGAAGAGTTATATAAAAATAAGGTTATAATGAGAATGCTGCAAAGTATGCACTCAGGCAGTATGGGGGTGCACTGACCACCACTACGCATCAGTTAATACAATCATTGTATTGTCTTCATACAGACTACGCGATATTCTAGCAATGACTACAAAATGATGTTTAATAAAAAGGTTACCACTATGCATCATTAAATACGATCACCGTGACGAACACAAAAACTCTTACCTGTGTTACTAAAGGTGTCAATAACACGGCTGACCATTTGCCGACATTCCTTACAGCAAATCGCAAACACCGACAACAACGCTCGATAATACGGTCATCGGATTTGTATTTATTTAAAACTTCTGATAAGACTGGCCAAACCTCAAGGAATACAGGTTGGCATGGATGTGGTTGACCGTTTTTAACCGTTGGTGAGGCATACCTATAAAAGACAAGCATGAACTCTGAATATTGCCAATTTATATTGCCATTACAATGTGTACATCAAACCAATATGTCCTGTCGTCTTTTCACCACCTGACTTATTTCTTACATTCTTCAATATTTCTGGAAATTAACCATAATTTTGGAACCAACAGACAAAATTTGAGTCAATTTTAACTCAAAAATTTGGATATTTTTGTCCCAATCTTCTGAAGGAAAGTGTAGACTAAATGGGGACTGTTTTTTTCTTATATTCTTCAATATTTAAGGGCAGACTACACACGGGACTATTTTGTGAATTTGTGATGAAAAGAAGGAACTGATGGTGAAAAGGTTCAAGCAGTTTGAACTGAATTTAAATTTTGCACAACTGAGCATTTTACCGCACATATATGCAATGCATTATGGGAAATAACCTCCCATTGTTATTATGATAGACAAATATTATTATCATGAAAACTGATTAAAATATGTCAATTTTTTGAAATGTTTCAACATTATAAGAATTTGTACCAATAATTACCTGCATAGGTATATATTGCTTTTTCATGTCACTTAGGACAATTCAGAAATTAAAGAATCTCGCCATAGAAATATTGCCAATATTGATCTTTTTGTTGTTGCTATCCAGTTGAAATGGATCCATAATTATAAAAATATGACATATAATCTTTAATTTATCTTGAGCCTCCTTAATGACATCGACATCATCTTCATAAAAACAGTTGAAGACAAGTTCAAGAGATAGGAATAAGGTACTTTTTATGTCAGAAATGGCCACCAAACAGCCATATTTGATGGGATCAACAATTAAACTGATGTACATGTATGCATGAAATACTGTTTTGGTTTTGTACCAAGTCTGACAAAATGACACAGTGATACCCCAAACCCTATGAGTGTTAAAATCAACTTTTTTCATATTTGTTTTCAAAAATTTTAATAAAGACCTGTAGCCAACAGAAAATTGGAAATTATTTCTATTTTGTCCAAAATTATCATAAACGTTAAAGAAAAATTCACTATAATAGACAAAATGCTGAACCAAAATTGTTTTGTTTTTTTGGGAGTGAGCTGACAGCGGGCAAAATGCTGGACCAAAATTTTTCTTTGTGGAAAAATTGTTAAATAATTCAACCAAGTCAAAATGAATTGAGCAGCAAGTGAGCTTACAGTGGGCACCATAACATCCCGACAGTTTGGCAGTTTTATATCGTATTGCACTGCCAAAATGAAGCACATATGTGACCTATACATACAATGTTTGCCTACGTGACGAGTCGTTCATTTCTATATATACGAGTGATGAAGATATACGGATGATCAGCCGTACTGACGATAGAGTTCTTGAAGTCAGTGCTAAGGGTTCACTCACCTAAAAATAGCAGCAAGTCTGTCTAACCATATAGCAGGATCATTATTATGAGATAACTTGGGAGCATCAGCCTTAACGAGCTATGGGAATACATAGAAAGAATATTGATGAAGTCACAGTGGAATGGTTTCTGACTAGTAATGAGTATTAACGAGATGCGAGTGATAGGGATTCCCATGTCAGGTTTCATTCAAATGATTATGAAAGTACAATTGAGATTCTATTATTTGAACATCGATTATGCAAATCTCTCATCATTTACTCACCCATTAACAAATGAATGAATAATATCTACTGTACAACCACAGAAAGACTACTGTAAAATACTTTATTTTTGCTTGGAATTTATTTTTGCTGAACCGGTGATTCAGTGAAAACAAGTCATTGTCAATGACATAGTGTTTATAGTGACTTTGTCAAACAATGAAAAGCATAGTCAGATCATGTTTAAATATTTAGGATAGTATTTAGCATATTAACTAGAGACTAAGTTTGAATGAAATTGGATTTTTTGGACAATTAATGGCTGTCAGTTGAAGATAAACAAAATAAAACAAAGCGACATTCACATGTATCATGACTTGTGACGTACCGACTTTGAAAAAAACAAACATTTAACACATTGTATATTGCTTTTGTACCAAATTTAAATACAAATCTGTAAAATAAGCAGAACACAAAATGGCCACCAGTCTGCCATTATGACTCTTCTTTGTACCAGCTTTGAAGGAAATCTGTCCAGGCGTCTTGAGAAATGATGACGAACAGACAGATGCACGCATGGACGGAACCCAAAACACAAGTCCTTGTTTCGGACTACGTTCAACAGGGACTAATAAAATCCAGCAAATCTACCTTTTTCCCTATATTTTATATTCAACTCGTCAGAAATCAATGAAAATAAATTCCATACAAACACACAAAAAGAGTTTTCAGCGAAAATTCATGTCACCTAAAATAATCTATGTTACAGTACATGCTGAACAGAGCCAGTTGATCACATGATTGCGCATAATAACAGTTGCTTTCTACATATTCATTCACTCCTTACATTACTGTATGTAGTTCAGTGCATGGCAGTCAAGTAGTAAAAACTGCGTTGTTTATCAATATCAAGGGGTCATTTTTTTGGTTTGAACTTTCCTTTGTTTAGCATGTACAAAATGTAATTTTAAATAGAAATGTAAAGTAAAGCAGTGTTTACATTGCCAATCTATACATGAAAATATGTGTAAATGTACAAGTTATCAAAACACAGGATTTCTCTGTGTTTTGTTATTTACAACTGCCATAGTTAACACAGACATAACAAACAATGTGGCACCCCTTAGACAGAACAGCATCTCCCCAGTAAGCATGTACACATGGATTATAAGACTCCTTAAGTTAATGCACTTTAATTGTGTTCACATGTACAAGGATTTCCAGTTTTGCAAATTACTGTTAATTAATTAATTAATTAATTAATACTGTTACTGTGATGTGTATTACTTTGGAGTGACAGTGATCCCCCCCACTTCTGCTATGTGTGAATCATTCCCGCTATCAATTTCGTCAAAAAGTCATCAGAATGTAAATTAAAGTTGTATTCTCAGCAACATTTTGTTGGAAGACCTTTGGGCAAAAATCAAAAAATTTACAGTGTTCGTGAGTTGTACTAATCAAAATCTGGTGTACAGTGTTCTCCCCAAAGCGTTTTAGCGTAGCGGGGCCGCTACTCCATTATTTATGCCGCTACTCTGAGAGATTGCCCGCTACTCTGTGGCATTTCCTATTACTCTTTCTTTTAGCTTGTTAATACACGTGCGAATCTGTTAGTCAGCGTCATCAGCGTCCGGTACTGTGAGCCAAATCAGGTGTGAATGGAAACATGTCAGTGATTACGCAAAGACAATGGACTAATACAGCTTCGTACTTCGACAATAAACACTTTCGCCCTATTTAATTGGGGTAATAGCGAGTATTTTCTCAGTAGCATATTTGGCTGGAAGAAGCAACGATGTCAAACAGCAGAAATATTACGTTGTGGTTCCGCGTAGAACGCCCTGCTGGGTCCCTGGTTGCGAGCGATAAACCCACCAGCAACGCGGTCACCGGTACCCCTGTCGGCAGTGGTACTAAACGTGTCCAAGATGATGTTACAACGAAAAGTGCAAAAAAATAAACTCTAGATTTGATGCACAATGGACAAC